CAACAGATTCCTCTTTCCTTCTAAGTGCTTACTAAAAGGCCATAACGCAGTGATAGAAATTTTTTATTAAAGGAGTGAGTCCAGGAAGGTTTGTGAAGAATAAACTGCTTTCAGAGGAGTAGCAAGAGAATTATTTATGGTAGGAAGTTTGCTTAAGTGGAATTACTGTTTTAATGGGAGCTGATGTTCTTTAGGGAAGAGGCTTTTTCTTTTTTCTACCCGATTCTTGACTCACCTTTATAGGAATTGCCTGTCTTGTGGTGTTCATGTTTTTAAATGCTGGTAATGCTGACTGCCTTGCTTGAGATATGCTAGATCTCATGCTGAAAGCATCATGGGCAAAAGTCACTCTTGTTTTGTTCATTGCAAAAACCGTATCTGCTTAAATTGAACAGGGTTTTTTGTATATGGTTCTAGTTAAACCCATTCCCTGAAGCTGGAGTCCTAATGCATCCACAGGGCAGGAGACACTTTGCTGACTTTGTGGTGCAGGTAGATCTTGAACATGTATGTCCCATATTGCTCTCATAGAAGCAGCTCTAAGAATTGGTGCACTTGGCAGCTGTAGCTCTCTAAAACTGTGTCTGTGAAACTATTCAAAATATATCCAGATGTGCATGAGGAAAATGGATTTGCCTGTCTCTTGCCAGGTGACTTCTAATAGTATTTTGTGACTTCTGAGTGTAAACACCTATACAGACATAACTGTTCTTTTTAATCTTGATGCTTTCTATATTCAGATTAAATGAAGGTACCCTTCCGTTTCCTTACTGGTAATAAATGGTAGGATTTATATGGTTAATGAAAAACTGGCACCTGCATTGTGTATCACAGAAACATTTTGCAGGAAGTGGCAAAGAGGATTACAATAAAGGGCAATAGGTTTCAAAAAAGATACCACAAAAGATGTTGAAAAATGAGGAAGAGGTAATCTGGAAATAAGTGCTTTGCCTGTAGTGATCCTTCCAACTAAGCAGTAAAACTAGTCTAATCTCAGCTGTCTCCAGGATGGTAAAGTAATTCAGACTCTGCTCGCTCCTGATACTGATCTTACACCTCTGGCGGATGACTAGTAAGATCTACTGCATTGCTGAAGCAGATGAGATTGAATACTTGAATGATGGTCAAAAGTTTCATGTACCTCAAGACTTGTCAAGATACTATCTTTGTTCAGTCGTAAGCTTTCATTCCAGATTTATTCTAGTATCGATTATACTGCGCTTTGTCTCTTTTGCCAACGGAAAAGCTCACTGAACTTTTCATACTCTCAACTGTAACGGTAGCATAAAAAGGGAAGTGAAATGCTATGTAGAAGAGGTTTTCTTGTGGATTCTTTTCATTTGGATCTCACAATTTGCAGGTGTATTTTGTACAATTCTGCAGAGATCTGAAACCTACCGTATTGGAAGCTAGTCCTACTCTGTTTGGTGGTTTTTGCTGCTGAGTTCAGACTAGGATTTATATAAAAGAGTTGCGTTTTGTTTAACAAGAAACAATGTAGTTTTCTAAGTATTCTCACACATTTGAAGAAGAAGAGTTTAGGCAGTTTTGTGTAACTTATCATTGTTTCATTCCTATGCAGGTATGTGCAATCCTCGCAATTACAGTGATACACCTCCAACATCCAAGAGCACTGTAGAGGAGTTGCATGAACCAATTCCTTCACTTTTCCGGGCGCTCACAGAAGGGGATACTCAGCTGAACTGGAATATTGTTTCCTTCCCTGTAGCAGAAGAACTGTCACATCATGAGAACCTAGTTTCCTTTTTAGAAACAGTGAACCAGCCACAGCATCAGAATGTCTCTGTTCCAAGCAATAACGTCCATGCACCTTACTCTAGTGACAAAGGTAAACAAGTACAGTGTCTAAATTTCTAGTGTTTCCTCTGGTCTCTTCTAGGAGGAGCCTTCTCAGTGTATTTTCTGCGCTCCAGATAAGATGTGTGAAAAGTTCATTCTAACTTTGAACGTGACATAACAGGAAAGAGTGAAGCAAAAGTAGTGAGGAACAGGGAAGATGGTGTTGAAGTGTCTGATGATCTTAGTGGGTACTGAACCACATGAGTTTGTCATCTCCAAAATTCTTCCTGCAGCATGAGGGAGTCTTTGTTCATTTTGTTTCATGTGCACCCACTAATGGTGTATGCTCCTTGAATCTGAAGCAGTTACCTGTGCCGTAGGAGACAGGACAGACCAGAAACTGAATCCAAATCACATACAAGTGCAGAGCTAGACAACTGAAATGCATTGACTTCAGAGGTTTGAGAAAACAACGTGCCGTAAGCCACTACATCCGGAATAGATGTTTAATTCTTGGGTCTGAGCTGGCATAACTTCAGCTCTTTAGAATGGTGGGTTGTAGGAAATCCAGGATTAATAATAAATCTGAGCAAAATCAGCAAGATCACTCTTGATGTTGGGGGGAGGGGGGATGTATGACAGAATCTTAAAAATGTAGGGGAGGTTTTTTTCAATATACAGACTCATTTCCCTTATTCTCACTTTTAGTTCAGAGGACAGACTTTAGAGTATTGTTAGCTGGAGAATAAAAAGGATACGTGTGAGGTAGTGACAACAGTGGGATAAGGAAACTTCTCTCTGCTTCTTGATTTCCATGCTTAACTGGAAAAAATCTTTCTCTGAAAATCTTTACATCAAATTTAGAAGAATCTCATAAAGAGTTCTTAGTAAAACTGCTGCTTAACTGGAAAAAAGAGCATCTAATTTGTTTTATTATAGTATAATTAATGCTGTACTTTCCTTCCCAACACACACTTTAAATATTAGTAACTCTGTAAGTTGCTTTTGTGATGGCTTTTTTATCTTATCCATGAAAGATATCCTATTTGACGGACATATTGGTTTTCCATACCATTGTGAACCTTTGACCTAGTTACATTTCAGAATAAGACTGCCAGCATCTATTAAATAGAACTGTAACGGCAACTTTTCTAATTTCCTTTGGTTAAGGCACGTTAGAAAAATAAATTAATTCCAGAACTAGGAAACCAGATGGTCAGAAAACTTCTCATTCATATGTCTTTTACATTATTACAATGCTTGCTCTGCATTATGAGTATGATACATGTTAAATGGCAAGCCACAAAAAGCCATGTGTGCAAACAGTACAGTATTTAAAGATGTAAATTATACTTAGAAAAAAATTATGCCTGGAATGGTCTTGACTATATCCCAGTGTATTTAGGTACTACAGCCCAGATGGTTGCTCCCTGACAGTCCTTTACTACCATACCAACAGGATGGGCTAATGATAGTTTTGGATTTAACTTGGAATTTGAAATGCAACTCAAGGGTGTGGAGGAGTTTTGAGTTTAACAAAACAGACAAATACATAACGCTGCAATTTCTTAGTGAAAAGTCTCCTTCATTTCATTTAGTAAGAACGTATTAGAGATTAGGTTCAGAGAGCTTTCATAGGAATGATGACATTCCAAAAATAACAGCTATATTTGGAAATAGTTACCAAATGCCACTGGTTTGCAGACTTCAGTAGTGTCAGATCTTTTCTTATGATTGCTCACTATCTGCCTCCTCCATCTTAGTAGTCAACAAAGAACTGGAAAAGGTAGAAAATGGGTTTCAAAACCCTATACTTTAAGTATCTAAATATGTAACCCTGTTGAGGAATCTGTCTTTGCTTGGTCACAATGTAGATAACTTTGTAGCGCTCTGCTTTTTCAGAAGTCCTACTCAAGTTTGCTTATAAAACACAGATGATTATCACAGAATAATTGTTCTGTCAGAACACAAGAAGGTAGACGGAAATGTTGTTTGCTGACCTTGGTCAGTTAATGCTTATTGTGGTGGAAGCAAGGACAGCCAGGGAACAGCTCCTGTTGTGTTGGATGATATGTGAACTGTGGCATTGTTTCCATTACTTTTAGGGTGAATTTATTTGGGAAACGATAACCAAGAAGGTAGAGGAAAGTCAGTGGAGGGGTAGCAGGTGAAGTGCTAAAGAACCTAACTTGCACAGGAGAATAAGAAGAGTCCAGGAAGTTCTCCTTCTACCAGCTGGAGTCTGATGGCTTCTCCCCGCACAAAGTTCAGTCACACAGCCACGTCACTGTGGCTTAACAAGCTAGTATTTTTTAAAAGAACTACTGTAATAGAGAGAGACTATATGTGTGTGCACTCAGTTGCAGTGTGTTTGAGTTTAGCCTGCAGTGGAAGAGACTGAAGGCACAGTATCTTTACCCTTTCCTTCTCAAACATTCTGCTGGGATTAATGGTACGTCTTGCAAACGGAGATGTCCTTCAGATGATTGACTGACTAGTGGTCTTCAAGGGCATGACATTCAGACAGTTGCAAAAAACTTCTAAGGAGCAGGAGCGCACATGCTTTAAGCTTTCTTTACAGTGCTGTGCCTCCTCCATTTTGTGGTCCACCTGTGGACCTTTGCCTGCTTAGCTCTGACATGGTGTGCTGGCAGGAGCCTCTTTCTTTTGTTGTACTGTAAGGAGAGGGGGGGCTAATGAGAGGTAGATATTAGGAAGGGGAGTGTAGACTGTGTGCCATTTTATGGAAGGCATTCCAAAATTTTGAAAGGTTCGGTCTCAAAATACACCTTGTCGCATTGTGTAATGCACTGATTTTAATTTCAACATAGATTCATGTAGGGACTGACGTTAAACTGGTCCAGGATGCCAGACTTTCGGAATGTGTGCCAGAAAAAGCAGTGCTAGCCACAGGAACCACACAGATTTGCGTTTGAGATATCTGAAGCCACTGGGCCCTGAAAGGATTGCTGTGGATCACTGAGAAGCTGGAATGCGGTGCGGTATAAAGCATTCCTTTCTAGCCTTGGCCTACTGTGAGCTATTAGACCTTAAACTTGCCCGTTATTATCTTAATGAGTGTCTTCCCTTTCCTCCTGTGAATTGACTTTTAACATTTTAGCTGCCAAAGTATGTAGAACTGCTGGAGCTAGTGTAATTCTTCGTATCAGTGATTTTTTGGCATTTGAGCTGTTACGTCAGAGAGGATTGCAAAGATTATTAATTTAGAATTACTTTTATACTTTATTCTTATTTTTTGCTTTACTTTTTGCTGATACTTTCAGAGCTCTGAACTGCAAGTTCAGATGTTTAACTAAGCTTAATTGTTTCAGATCGTGACAGGATGTTGGCAAGGCAGGGGAGGGAAGGGAAGTAGATAATCTTTTGGCAAGTGATGAAACAAAACCTGCGCTGGAGTTAAGGGTTGCTTACTTCAGCCCCTTGGTGACACTGTGGATGGTGTCAGCTCTGCACTTCTACTTCCCTCAAGTGCCAGCTGGGTAGAGAAGATCTAAAAATCCAGTGAAGGGCAACTGCTTCTGTAGGTATCCTCGGAGTCTATTCAAAATTACTTCTTTTTATAACTTCTGACTGACATAAAATGGTATGGTTGCCTGACAGACAATTACCTTTCTAAAGTGCTCTTAGAGCTACTGATAAACAAATCAGCAGACAAATTATATAGCAGCTTTGATTTCAAAGGTGGCATATGGGGACTTGTAATTAACGGGGGAAGTTTTTTCATCTTACAATTAGGCATTTTTCCTTAATTTACAAGAAAGAAATTGTTTTCTGTCCTCTGACTTGACAAATTCCTCTCTAGTGTACCAATATAGATCTTGCTTGCAGCACAAAGAATGTCATAACAAAGTGCAATGGAAACAGAGTCCACTTCTTCTGGTCGTTTTGAATTTAGACTTGATCCTACATTGTTCTTTCTCTCATACAGCTTTCATTTAGCATGAACTGGGAAAAGGTGAAAAACCTTCATGTTCTGAGGAAAAAGTGCTGTGTGCCTGGGATTCCCCTGCTTCCCTGTTCCCACCCGCCAAGACTCTTCTGTAGTCCTTTCTGTGTGAACATTGCCAGTACGCTAATGAAAGAGCTGTTAGTGGAATAAGAAACATCCTTTTTATCTGCATGGAGGGAGTCAAGTGATGACTACATAATTTGATTTTTGAAACAATTTAAATACTCTCCAGGATCCCTAGTGAGCCTGTAGGTATAGTTTTTCTTTGAAATTGTTTCTCCAGCCTAAGAAGAGGGATGTAATGCTTTATTTGAGGAACTCTGTCTCCCGCTTTCAAGAATTCAGCATTCATAGGTACAGAAACACAGACCCTGCAGAGGAGGGGAACAGCCATATCCCATGATGAACAAAGTACGCTCTTACTAGTGTATTAGTTTTACCTAGTAAGTCCCTGAATATATGAGACTTCAAAATCAGTTTGATAGCGTATTCTTCTGCATGTGAAATACGTCCTTCAGCCTCTTGCAGAGCTGTTGGGAACTAGCCAGATCTGCCATCAGCAGATCTGTCTTTCAGAGTCTTCTCTACTTCTACAGCATTTTTGGGTTGGTCCTCTAGGACCTATGCCTTTTGGCTTCCATATGCAGGTGGAAACAAGCTTTCTTCTCCATTCCAGTCAGCCAAGATTCCTGGTTGTTGTTGCCACCTTAAAAAGGTTGAGGCCTGGCTTCTGTTCCCATTTTGGTTCTGGAGACTGGTTCATGGCGTCAGTCTCTCCAGTTTCACAGGATGTGACTGCTCAGCAGTTAGGAGCCTAGTGCTGTCAATCCTCTGGCCTCCTTCCCACGGAGATAAATGTTCATTCGTGTAAAAGACCATCTCACTGTTACCAGTAAAGAAAGGCCTAAGCACCTCCAGCCCGGCAGGGCATGATCCACAGAGGGAATGCACTAAGCTGATTGGACCCTTCTGGAGGGATTGGAGGAGAAAGCTGCCCTGGGCTTTTTAATCCTATGAGAAGATGGTGTTTCAAGCAGCCACTTTATGAACCCAGTTCAGTACTATGTACTGTGACCTGTAATAGTTGGTGGGTATTTAGTGAAAGGGGTCCTCAGACCAGATGCGAAGGAAAGGGCCTTAAAATCTGTGTGCAAAAAAAAAAAAAAAGATGTCAAAAGACGGCCAAGTAGAGTTTTGTCTTGCAGTGGAGAGCTAGACTAGACTGTGTGGATCAGAACTACCTTAAGGCTTTGCAGCGCTGCATTAAGAACTGGATTTTGCTGCTCTGAAAACAGGGCAAGAGCTGGGACTAGTCATCTCTCAATGTGGGAAGGAGTAAAAGGGGAAGGACAGCCCTGAAGTAGACAAAGACTGGGCAGTTAGGCTGTCGAAGGCGTAGCAGAGGTGAGACTGCTGGAAGGGGGTGCCAGTAACAGCTACTGGCTGCTTTACACATCTTGCTGCTGGAGGAGAGCCAGAGCTTGCTTTTCTATGAATGGCACTACTGGTTGCACTGGTCTGCTGCTGTTTGTAGCTGCACATGCTCTGCCTTTGTCTTACAGCCTACTTTTTCACAGACCGTGCCTGTGTCCTGACCCGTCAGCATAGTGACATATGTGGACTTTATTCTACTGAGCAGTATGCGGGAACTTCAGGTATAGGTAAATAGGTATAGGTAGTTCAATAACAATATTCTTTACATCCTAGAAATCTCTAGCTCATCTTCCACACTAAGAAGTTCATTTCAAGTTTCTGCAGGCCTTGCCTGATGAATTGGGCTTCTTTGGAACTTGTGAACTGGTACTTCTGTTGGATTCTGCTGAGGTAGACCAGGCTGGTCATTCTCTGCTGTGAAGACAGTCTGCAAGTGCTAAGAGTGGCTAACCAAACACACAGTGTGCACAGCCTTGAGCATCCCTTACCTAATGGTTTTCCTTAGCACGTTGCAAGTAGTAGTGCAGAGGTCAGTGCAAGAGCAGAGAGCGCTTCTGGCCACCCTTTAGAGCGGACTCTGGCTACCTGTAAAGGGTTGTTCCTCTGCTATCCAGAAAGAGCCAGGAGTGGTCTTGCCATCTAGAGCTGATCCAGAGACTAGGTCAGTCAGGTGGAGATGGTATGCCAAAAGCTGATTTTGCCAGAAGAAATCTTCCTGGATTAGCAGGAATTGCCATTTTGGGCCCGAGGTGCTGTGCCCTCTAGCTGACACTTCTTAATGCCAACTCCATCTATGGCATTTAAGGTCAAGCCTGAGAAGAAAACAACCAAAAAGGTATCAGAGGAGTGAATTGGGATTAAGCAAGAGGTACAGAGAGGATGAGTACTTCTGAGAGGGACTTCCATAACATTCCTGCACTTACATGCCGGCACTAAGCTGAATGACTGACAGGACGTGGGTGCTTAGATTTCATGAAGAACTCTGCGTGGAGACTTATCTCTGCCTTCTCATGCCCTGCCTTTCCACTGAAAATGTCCTGTGAGGAGCGAGGGGTGACAGATACCTAGGTATGCCTGGGCCTCCTGGGGGATGGAGTACGTTGGTGTACGTTGCTTCTTGGGACCCAGGCAATTCTGAGCCTTTTTTTGCTGATGACCGAATGTTGCCAAGTCCTTGTGCGTTCTCTGTAACAACGTGCAGCTGCTCTGCAGCACCTGAGTGACTTCTTACCGATGAGGCTTTGGCAGCTACGCCAGTCACTGCTGGTAGCGTCTCCCTAGCGGTGTTCTGCTTTGGCTGAGCATTTTAGGAGTATGCCTTGTCGGTCGCTCTGTGTGCATGCTATCGTAGCATGCACTTCTGTTTTGCACTTTTCTTCTCCCCTCTCTGAATAACATTTCCTTACTAAAGCTGTGGGTATACAGGCTGGTTTTAAGTAGAGTTTTTTTTTCTGAGAACTCTCTTCCTCTGCTTGCTAGGCCCCTGGCTTTATAATAAAGTGTCATAGAATTAGAAGTGCCAAGAATGGGATAGGATTTTTTTTTTTTTATTTACAACATATTTTGTTGACATTCCCAGCCGTACTTCAAGTACTCCAAGATTGCTTGGACAACTGCAGCTTTACTGACAGCACAGCTTCCCTCTTTGCTGCAGCTAGTTACAGAAAATAACTTGCTTCAGCTATGGGCTTGCCCTTCCTCCTCAAGATCCGTATTGCCTGTTGTATAATATATAGCATCTGCCAGAACTGTACAGCAGTGCAGAGCCTGAGCAGGGAGGTTTATTATCTTGCTTTCAGTGCCCTGGCAGCACATTCTTTGACCATTTTGCAGCTTTTCAGATAGTAAGTAGCAACATAGGTTGACAGTGATCAGGTTTCCTTCATGTATGTTTCCATAAATGATACTTCTAAAGGGTAGGGGCAGGGTTTCCCGGTGTCCAGGAGGAGGAAGCATCCACAGAACAGTTAGGAGGTGCATATTGCTCTCCTTCTATACGTGATACTGTTCCTTGCCACATGCCCAAAAGCATGGGAACCACGGAGATCATCTGTTGTTGATATGGGGGAAATGGATTGCACAGCTCTGATGGCTTGTAGAGCGATGTAGCTCCTTGCTGGTCTCAACTCGCCTTGGGACCTCTGCCTTAGGAGCTTGCCACGAGAGCTGGGTACCATGCAGGTTGCTAACCACCAGTATTGGGCACCAGTATTTTAAAGGGGAGGTTCTGGTGTACTTGGACCTTCCAATACATACTCACCGAGAAGAGCCAGAATCAATGTTGTGGTTAAGAATGTCACTGCTCCCAGAGTCCTTTGATTACTCCCCTTTCTCCATAATCAGTCAACAAAAATAAATACTGACTTAGCAGGTATATTTCGATTGCATTTTTCCAACCCATGTTGGAATGTAGGTCAGCATGTTTCTCCTGGAGCCACGTACCTTAAGCAAGGAGTTGGCTAGAAACTCTCTTGACTTCTCCACACGTGGATCAGTCTGTGTGCAAGTGAGATGTGTGTTCGTAGACAGCCTTCGGTTGTGCTTTCCCCGAAGTACGCCATGTTATGCTGGGGTAAATGTGATACAATCAAGATCCTTTGGGGGATGAATAGAGTTGCGGTATAATCACACGCTATGCACAGAAGAAAGTTGTTAGAATCTATCAGCTTTGAGAATTAGAAGTAGACAGAGGAGGGATGTTTTTGTTTTATTATTGTGGTGAACGCCTTGACTCTAAATTTGGGTTACAACACCAAACTTCAGGACATTTCAAGTAATTGCGTGAATGTTAGAATGGCTAAGTCAGCCCTTTGAGAGAAAGGGTTTCTTAGTAGTAAAGTTGATGTTGCTTTAAAAAAGAAGGAAGTATGCAGTTTCCAGTTGAGGAAAACAGGATTCTCCAGTTCTGTGATTTAACATGGTTTAAGAATACTGTTAATATGGTTTCAGAATACTGGGGAGAAGGAAATGTTTAAATAACTAGGGGATTTTTTTAATTAACTTTTCTAAAGCTTAAGTTTTTCATGATAGCATATAATAATAGCTGGCAACTCTAAAACTGGTAACTTGGTTATACAGATTTTTACCTTCAGAGGACACGTGCTTCTTTGTTATTTTGATATAGCTCATCTTTACACTTTACAAGGTATCTCTCATAACTCAGGGGCGGGATAATACTGTCCTTGCCTGTGATTATAGCAATAATTGCACCTCGTGTCTCTGCCTCTTTTCTCTGCTTCTGCTATCACCTTTTTTTCCCCTTGTTGGCACAGAGTCTTAATGATTTGCACTCCTACTGCAAAAGGTGCGTGTTTAACTTAATTTTTTACCTAAATTTTTTTTCAAGTGTTTTGAAACTTTCTAAACCAAACCTTTTCCTTCCTTTGGTTTAGAACACATGTGTACTGTGGTGTATTTTGACGACTGCATGTCAATACATCAGTGCAAGATCTCTTGCGAGTCCATGGGAGCATCCAAATACCGATGGTTTCACAACGCCTGCTGTGAGTGTATTGGGCCAGAATGCATCGACTATGGCAGTAAAACTGTAAAATGCATGAACTGCATGTTTTGAAGCAGGAAAATTGTAACATAGTAATACGGAGGCCAAAGTAATCTCTCTCAGTTAAAGAGATGGGGATTGGAAATACTGCATTCTGGTGGAATACCTACGGGTTGCAACTAAATGGAGCTGGCTTGAGAAAAGATGTATAAAATTTGAAATCATTCTTTTTCTTTTTTAATTCATGTAAGCAAGGCTAAGTAGTAGAGTTTCAGCCATTATGTTTTAAGTTTATTTTTCTTTATTTCTGCTCAGATGGTACAGCCGTGCTCATACTTGCTGTTCTGATTGTTTTGCTTTAATTTGAATGTATTGACTATATTGTATCTAGTAGTTTAGGGAAACCGTAATAATATGGTAAAAAGATTCCCGTCATCTAAGTTTGACAAATAATCAAGTGGATACTGTGTTTTGTTTTGTTTTATTATTACCTTCCACGTTTTGAGCTTAGCCTTCTGTTGTGAAAAGGATATTTGGGAAAAAAACCAAAAAATTAATTCTTTCAGTTCATTCTTTCTCTTCAAGTTCAAAACATGGGCTGTCATGGATAAAATCCTAACTTCTTAGAAGGGCAGTCCAGCAAAACACTACATATGGAACACTTTCCCTCTAAATTTCATCTGCCTCATTCTCATAAGTACATTTAATGCAATTACTGCATGAAAAAAAAAAAAATCAGTCTTCTCTTAGATACCAAAATAAAGCTGTTAAGTGCAGTTGCATGCCCCTCCTTGTGCACTTTTCTCTAGGGTTGCTTAATCCTTGAACATTCAGTCCAGTAAAGGAAACATGAAAGGTGGTTATGAATCAAAAGACTAAGTGCATAAAGAAGAATGAACCAACATGAACTAGCAAGTGCCACGGAGTTATCAGTTGAGCAGCTGGCAGCAGGCCCATATCACATTTAGTAGTTTGCTGTGAATATTTATTCCAAACCCTACTTTTATTTTTTTTCTCGTGAAAAGTTGTCACTGACGAAGGGAAGATGTGTCCTCAAAGGCAGAACTAGGATGTTATGAGTATAGAGCGTTCTGTCCATTTTTCTAGGTAAAGTTTTAATATGCTGACTGTTACAGGGCAATTGTTACGACCCTATTAGGTCTCCATTGATAATGGTACTAAGTACAAGAATAAAGTATGAATAGTTAGTGATCAGCTTTTGGTATTTATAATGATGTTGGTTTTAGCTCCTTAATTTTTTTTTACACATATGCATATATGTATATGTATGAAAATTGTTGATTATTCATGTTTTTGCCACTAGCGTCGGTGTAGGCAGATTAAACTGTCTTCGCTCACATCTGTCTGTACCAGGTACAAAGGAATGCAGTCATTTTAAACTTCTTTTATTTGAAAAGATTTCCTGAGTGGTTTTTTTTCATTTTCCTGATACAGCTCTCTGAATAAGATGAAATGAAAATATCCTACTTTTGTGAAATAATTTTGCTTTTTTCAGTCTCTCTTTCAGCTATACAGAAGTACTTGAAAGATGATTGTTTTGTTTATTGTTCTGAACTAGTGGCTAAGGAAATATATTCCTACTTTAAACTTGGGACTAAGTGGAAAACAAAATCATAGATACGAATAGAAAAACTTAGCTTATAATGAAGGAGTTGTTCTTCCCTTGTTTGACAATATCTTATGTTATCTTTTATTCTACATGAGTTTCTTTAAAATGAACGAAGAGGAAGAATATGTAAGAGTAGCTTTGACTACTTGCTTTTAGCTGGAGGATGATGTAGCATTCTTGATCAAAATAGAAAGCATACAGTAAGTGTGCCTACAGATCCTACTTAAGATTTTGCAGTGTTAGACGACTTGAAACAACTGAAATAAAACCATAGTTCAAAATCTTCTTGGGGAAAAAACAGGGCTGGTGTTTCTGGATAGGAGCCTGCTGCCATGGATCTGTGACACAATATTCATTTACATCATTATGATTTCACTATGATGTCAAGTCAAAGGAATAGCGTGGGTGGATAACTGGAGGGTAGAAGAGACTCTTCTAATAAATGTCCAGGAAAAATTGTGGGGAAACAGCTTCAAAATTTGATAACTTTGTGTAATGGGCCTGAAAGTAGGTAGTGAGGATGCACACTTTCTGAGGCTTGCCTTATTTTTGTAATTCTCGATGCTGTTTAGAGTTTGCTGTAAGCGTTGTATGTATGCAAACGTCATACAGCAACATCAAACGTATTTTATTATTACGAGTGTTTTAAGAGGTATTTTAATAAAAAGACATTGGTCTATGTGGTTTCCTTCTCATGATTTTCTCAGAGCAAAAGTTACTAGGAAGCATATTATAAAAGGACCATTGTTACTGTTCTGGACTGATAGAATAACACAGAGAATTTTTACCTTTTTATAGTAGTCTCTTCCAAATCTAAAATTGTCGTCGGCTCTTAATAGTTTTTCCTTCAGATAAATCAGTAAAGAAGAACTTGCTTAATAGTGAAAAAGATTTTTCTGAGAGGAATTAATCATTTTGGACGGTTGTGCATTTAGTCCTAATTCATGTTGCAAGGAAAATCGTAAGTTATTTTTGGGGCTCTTATTGTGCTTAGGCCTGGAGATGAGCAAACCATCACCTGCATATGCGCTTTAAATAACTTAAGGACATGCTTAAAAAACTTTCAGCTAGAATCTTATCTAAGTAAAGCATTGGTCAGTTTTTTATCACTATCCTTCCTGACACAATTGGAAATCACTAAACGTAAAGGGAAGCAAAAAAGGGAGTGCCTGTAATAGGGAATTACACAAATCTCTGCAGTCTGTTGGGGTTCTGTCTGAGAAGGGGTTGAATGCCTTTTGTTATTCTTTCCCTAAAAGTAGAGAAATACATAAAAAGTTCTAGTTCCTTCACCTTTGCATTCTGAAAACTTCAGAAATGCATGTCATTCTGGAAATAGTGATGTAATACAAAAGGGAATTAACTCAGTTGTCACTGTAGAATGAAATCAGAGGCATAGAAGACAGCCTAGGACAGCACCTGGCCCTCCCAGCAGGCTGCTGTGACAACATGATGGGAACTGGAGGGAACTACAGGCAATTCCTCCAGTTGCAGGCCGTCCTGCCCTTCTTGCCATTAAGACTGAAGCCATACTGATCAGAGGATGATGAGATCTCTAGCAGAAGTACAAAGCAGAGTGCAGTGTAGACTCTTTTTTCAGCTGCTGTGAATTAGAACACCTTTAGGACAGGTTCTTTGTTAAGGCCTAGGAGGAAAAGAAGAAAAGTCACCTTTCCTGGAACACTAGTTGCTGGGCTAAGTCTTCACAGACGGCAGCATGAAATTGGAAATAGAGAGACCTTAATGCAATCGATGCATCTCAGGCATGCTTTCTCTAACTCCTAGGATCAGCCTTTTGGCTGATTCACACTGATGTACCTCACTGGCTGCTCCCAAAATTATACCAAGGTACAACAGCAGAGGTAGGCTATAGTGCCTGTATTTTGATTCTGTGAGCCCAGAAACAATGCCACTGCACATCAGAGAAAGTGTACTAAGGGATTCTGAAGTTCCTGTCAGTCTTTGTCAGGGCATAACAGTTCTTTGAGGATGTGAGCTTTGTAAATCTGGAAACTCACCTTCCTGACGCTTTTTTGCAGCTGTCGTACTGAAGTGTTTTTTCTCACAGGCACTTGTTGCTCCCAGATTTCAGAAGAACCGATGCCCTGCAGAGAGGGTGAGTGAGTGATATGGTCATAATGTGACATTGATTTCATGGGATTTCTTAGGCTTCCTAGCATGCTTTTAATAAATCCAGTAGATTTTATATCTGGTATTTCAAAAATGGTTATGAGGGCACCTGCTCATATTTCTCATAACAGCCACTAGTTCATTCAGCGACTGGCCTGCTCACAGTCACTTCCTGTTGTTTTTTTCTGGACGCGTTACTATGTTAAGAGGTGTGCCAAAACTGATAACCTGATAAGAGGCGAGGCTGCCACAGTTCCAGGTTCCCATGTCCAGCCAGCAGCAAGGCTGAGCACATGTTCCCAGTAGGCATACACGTAAACACACGTATACAACACATGCACACAGCCGGCCACAGTGACCAACACAGACAGAAGCACTCAGCAGTTACACGAATGGCACCAACAGCCTCATCCTGTTCCCTGCTTCAGGATGAAGGTCCATTATGGGAAATCTATATACATATACACATAGTATGGATTCTGCAGTAGCTGGCCTTGGATGCTCATTCTGCCTAGTAACTGGTCCTGGCTCCCAGGTGTCCCCAGTTGCTGGCACCTGGGCAGGTCAAGGCCCTCAACCCCACTCGCACACACCAACACCTGCACAGGCACACTCACATGCTCCAGATCCTCTTGGTAATTGGCCTTAGATGCTCAGTCAAGCCTGTAGCTGGCCCTGGATCCTCTTGTTTCTAGTTGCCATACAAATGGGTCTATCAATCAACCCCCGGACCTGCTGTCTCCCCAGTAGTTGACTTGGACATCCTGGTGCCTCCGGTAGCCAACTCGCAGTTCCTCTGGTTTCTGTCTGCCTTCCCAAGCCACTTACCCTGCCACCGGCTAGTCCGGCTTGACGTTGGCTCACAATCACACGCCAACGTGCAGACCCACACCATATGCACACGCTCCGGTGTCTGAAGTGTGGCACTCGAGAGACACGCAGCCCCTGTGACTCGTGGCCCCGCTGTGGTGGCACTCAGGCCTCCATGCACACACTGAATAGAGCCCCCTCACACAGGAAGAGAGCTAGAAATAGAATTTATGGAGCAGACAGGACAGAGTGGTGGTGAGGCACAGGGCATGGCCAGACAAGCGTAGTGCAACCTGTTTGCACCTGTCCAGCCCCTTTTATCTCCTTATCCCACTATTTTCCCACACTTGTTCCTCCCCAAACCACTTTGATCCCTCCTTCTCCCCTCCTGTGGTCCTCCTCCTAAACATCATATAGGAAGTTTTGTACAACCCCTAGACAGTCCTCCCTGCAGGCCATACCGAGTCCCACGCCCCCAGCAGACGCTCTCTCTCACAGAGCTGCTCCTCATGGTTAAGGGTCCCCCTGGCCCCAGGGCTCCTTTCTCTGACTGGTTTATTGTGATTCCCCCACCTGCCATCGTGCCTCAGTGCTCTTTCGTGCTTGCGTCAACAAGTCTTTTATCACATAACCTAACATATTAGTGATTATAATGTCTATTGGGGTTTAAAAAAAAAAAAAAAAAAAGCTTGTCCTGAGATTTCCCACTAGGTGCGACAGTGTTGATGGATGAGTTCTTGGCGTGATCTGTTTGACCAAGTACTATGTAGTTAAAGTATACTTAGAAACAAGACATTGGAAGGAACAAAGTCTTTTTCAAACAAATCTAGCTAAGAAGGCTGCCAAGGTCCAGTTTTTTAATATCCTTTCACTGCATATGTCTTTTTAAATTTTCTTCTTACAACAAAGATCTGCGAATAGTGTGATTCCGTAGTGCTAATTGGAGTTGTATAGGCAGAGCTCAGTATAGCGAACTGATTTTTTATCATATCGCTCTTCTGGCTCTGTTCTCTCCTGTTATGTGATACTTCCTATGAATAACTTAGCTTTTTGAAGATTTTAACTAATCTATTTCTTCTGCACTTTCCTTGGTGTATTCAAGCTGTCATTGTTTTGCATGCATGTTTTCATATGTGGCCGGCCAGTGTCTTTCATCAGCTATACC